GCAGGCAGGATGTTGGGCTTTGTGTTTTGGCTGAGGCGAAAGACATGCAGATTGGACTGAGGAGGGAGCAGGAAACTATTCCGCTCACCCACCCCGCTCCCCATCAAATGTAGCTGAGGTGGTTGATCTGCAGCCCTCAGCTTGATTTCTAAAGTTCTCTGCAAGTTCAGACCTCTGGAAGGCATGATCCATCTGTTTCACATTACTGTAGTGGCAAGAGTGAGTATGGGGAGGGGCGCGGGGAGTATGGGGAGGCATGGGGAGAACAGGACCCTCCTTGGCTCTGCTCACCATGGCCATATGATGCTTGACAGATGAACCTTGGCAGCTCCTGCTCCGCAGAACAGAATCAGGGCAAGAACTTGGCAGTAATGCAGTTCAAGAAACAGCACTACCCACTACTTTTATTTTCTTTTTAAGGGGAGCAACAGGATTTATAATCAATTAAACATCAGTAATATAAATTTTAGATTAAGAAAACCGCCTGAAATGAGTAGTGTTTGTTCCTCATTTCAAAGTGTTACTTTGGGGATTATTTTGAGGGATGCACAGGCATTTTTCATATGTTTTTTTTAATTAAAGTAGTATACACATTGCTCTTAAATAAAGTAATATATTGTATTAGCAAATAATGTGCAAGTCCACTTGAGTTTATTTTAAAATTGTATCGGTCAGAATATTGGCGATTTGCGCATGCATAAGTGAAAGGGTGTAAGTTGTGGTTAGTGTATTGCTGCTAATTAATTTTAAATGCACGCAGCATCTTATTCAATGGCAGCAATTTGCTGTCACAACTTAAGGAAGTTTCACTTATGCATGTGTAAATCACCAACAAGTCTGGCCATTGCAAAGTACAGTAATTTTAAGACATTAGCTTGGAGGGAGGGATAAAATTGACCTCAAACCCACTGAGGTTCCCTGCCACTTTTTTAGGGTGGATAAATTTATCTGGGTAGGAGCTGGATGACTGCTCAATTATGACCCTAGAGTTGGTGAATCATGTAAGGAAACATTAGCTGGGCCTCTTCCAAGCAGCTGTCCTTACTGTTGGGGTGTGTGTGTTATATCTTAGACGTTACAGGAACCCTCTCAGATTTGGAAAGGGCAGTTTTATGCTCTTTGGCTCCCTGGTTTCCAAAGCTTCCTTGCCTGTCTGCTTTATACGTAGTCCATACAGCTTTAGGTGATTTGAACTTATGTTTGTAAGATATTGAGCAACAGGTTCTTTATGTACTGAATTCAAAACACAGTTCTAGGCTATCTTGGAGGGACTCATGCTGCTGTTAATTTGTAAAATCTGAAGTGCAGCTGTTGCTTAAGCTCTCTTGGCATACTGTGCCTTTTGGCAAAATGTGCTGGAAAGCACAGAAGCGGAATATGAACTCCTACCAGTTCATTGCCTCAGCAATATATTATTATAATTACAGTACGGAAGAACCCAAGAATGTCCTGCTTACCACATGAGTATCAATGAAATGAAACCATGAGCGGTTTCTGACACACACACACTGCTTATTTTGGAAAGGAAGGGCAGTGTTCAAAGATAATAAATTGTTCTGTTTTGGTTAAACTGTAAGTTGATGTTTACATTTAAGAGTTATGATGGTATTTTCGCATCCCTGTTGCATTACCACATTCCTGAACCTAAGACCTAGCAAGAAATAACCTAATTAGGGTTAGGTTGACCTGCCATTAGGTCAAAAGAAGTGGCTGGCTCAGGCTGCAGATTTTGGGTGGCAGAAATTTGTAAGTTATTTCCTCTTTTGGAGATAACCCTCTTCCTTCCTGTGGTGTGGTTTTGAGCACCTGTTCAGGACCAGTCCTTTCACTTAGGCTCTTCTGTTTGCTGACCAGTCTCCAGCACACACCTGGCCTGTTGTCAGTTGACTACAGCAACTATCCAATATGGATTTTGGCCATTATGTTTTGTATCCTAATTTCAGTTACCTGAATCTGTTTTATACCTGCTTGAGATATCATTAAGCAACTATCTGCAAACAACGTGACAAAAATAGAAAGCCTGGCACCTTTACAACAAGATATTTATTTCAGTGTGAGCTTTTGTAGATTACAACATTAGAGTTAAAAGTGTCCCAAGCTTTTTTAAACCATGCATACATAAAAAGGCTTACACAGCTACTTCTTCAAATGTTCAAATAGTTTAAAAAAAAACAACAACTGGAAACTTGTGGCTGCCAGTACAGTAGATGGAAGTTCATTGGAAAACAGAGCAAAGCCAGCTGATGATCAGTTTGACTTCAGGTGTGGTGGAACTGGGACACTTGTTTCCACTCTTGTTGATTTTCTGATGCTTTCTCTTTGAATGAAATGCAGCTGGAAGGTCCTGCCAATTTGTTGCAGGTGTGAGAAGAAAGGTGATTAACTCTTTTCCATTCCAAATTCTTCACCACTTGGTGCTGTTCTGCGGTGTATTTTACTCTCATGGAATGTTGATGACAGAGATCACATACAGGTGCAGGAGGGACATCCACCCTGTCTTACAATAAAGTTAGGAGCCTTGCAGAAGAGCATTTCATTTTTTTTTTAAATATAATAATATTTGGGGGTTCAATCCCAGAATTCTTGTATAAAGATGAATGGTGGTTTCAAAACTTAAAATAATAATTTATATGTAAAAGCAATGCTGTGTTTTCCAAATGACATGACATAATGACATTTCCAGTCCTATGGCCCTACTATGCCTGTTGGTTAAACTGGTGTAAACTTTTTAGCATTTAACCCTCATGAATCAGCAGCTCAACGAAATAACGGTGTTGAATTATTATAAGAAATGTCTGTAGGCCTTATCTGTTGTATACCGAGTCACACAACTCAGTATACACCAGATAATGTCTACAGAGATTTCTTAACTTACAGCAGTTTGCTTCCAAAAGTCATGCCGTTAATATCATTGAGCAACAGCATTTCAGCCAGTAACTATTGAGAGTAGTACCAGTACAGGGAGCTTTAAACACACGTCTCTTTCACATAAATAAAGGTTAGAAATGTACAGTTGGCAGGCTACTTGGACAGAAATTCTCTGTCAAATTAAGATCTCTGTAGGCCTTATCTGTTGTATACTGAGTCACACAACTCAGTATACACCAGATAATGTCTACAGAGATTTCTTAACTTACAGCAGTTTGCTTCCAAAAGTCATGCCGTTAATATCATTGAGCAACAGCATTTCAGCCAGTAACTATTGAGAGTAGTACCAGTACAGGGAGCTTTAAACACACGTCTCTTTCACATAAATAAAGGTTAGAAATGTACAGTTGGCAGGCTACTTGGACAGAAATTCTCTGTCAAATTAAGAATCAGAACCTCCCCAAAGGACTCATCCATACTGGAGACAAATCATTCTGCTGGTTCAGAAGCTTTTTTAAATTGAATGCACATTATTTGCCTGTATAATAACATTTATTTTCAATATTAGGTGGAGCAGGATGCAAGATTTTGACAAGATGAAAACTTTGAAACAAGAATGGTAGGTGTATTTGCGTTTTTATTTCTTCTGCCTTATCTAGGTCAAATGTGTATATTTTAAATATTATCTTACTGTTTTTATAATAGATAGTCTTGCGGTGGAGTTTTATGTGATCTATATGTGACTGCTACCCATATAAGCCGCCCAGAGACCTTCGGGTAGTGTGGGCGGCATATAAGTTAAATAAATAAATAAAATAACCCCAGTATTTAAAGTGGATACAACATTGGCTCACTTCCTTTAAGGGCTAATTTACAGGAATGTCTAATTCTCATCGGAATGATGGCAGCAGTTTGTGAGGAACAGCTGTTTTGTAGAATCAGCCCTGATCTCTTTAAACTTCATTATCCTTCCCAGATTCTGAAGGAGGAAAGGTGCTTCCATGAGAGGGTTGATTTTGCTCCATGGGTGTGAAGTCAAGAAAGTCAGAACCTGAATAGGATGGGATAATCTGTTCCACGGTGGGGGAAAATTGTATTATGTGAACCACTTGAAGAACTTTTTATTGAAAAGTTAAAACAGGCAAACGTACAGATGTACAGACCAACATACATGCATTTGTATATGTATTCTAAATAGATAAACCTCTGAAGAAGAAGAAGGAGAAGCTAAAATGAAGAATCCAGGTTGAGCCAACTAGAAACTTGTTTTATGTTTCTAGTTGGCTCAGATAACTGTGCAAGCTGGCCTTAGTAACTGTGCGGGCTGTTCAGATTCCAGATCACTTCTTCAACAAAAAGATGTTACAAGTCGTACGCAAAAGGAAAATGGAGATAGGGAGAAGGACTTGAAGCGAAAGCCAGTAAAACTAGTCTTGCCCGCCTGAGTACTCAGATGTTGTGGGAGGAATGCTGCGCAGACACAGACAGATTGTGTAGACTGTTGGATTTCATCTTTAATGGCCCTGAGATATGTTGGGAACAAGAAAGGCATTAAGAGGCTGGGCTAGGCATATTGAATCTCTATTGTGACAATACGAACAATCCTCTTTGAATCACAGAGCTGCCTCTATCCCATGTGTTGCTCACTGTATCACTTGCAGGAAGTGAGTAGAGATTTCCCAGGCAGTTTCTGTACTGTCAAGGACGGAAAAGGTTGAAGATAGTCCATCGGACAAAAAAGATGTTAACAGAAAATGCTTTCGGTTCTGTTGACTTACTGAAATGAGAGAGCTGTCCAAGCAAAGAACCTTATGAAGCTGTGCAAAAACATACCATTAGAAGTCACTTGTGAGTTGTGCACAACATTATTGATACATCCAGTACCATGTGTGTATGGTTCAATGATAGGACCTTTGTGTTGAGTACTTAAATTATTTTTTCCCACTCACTCTCTTACACGCCTGTGGTTTGCCATGTGTATACCAAGTAGCCAGCGTCTGTGCTGTCCTGGAACCTTGATGGAAACCAAGCGTCCAGCTACATGCAACCATGCCACCATGTATATTCCCACTACACATGTTTTAAAACACAAGAGAGTTGCAGGAGAAACCTGCAGCCACCTGCTCCACGAAGGGAGAAGAACCATCCCAAGTGGATAAGGCGTGGAAGCTGCTGTGGCAGCAGGAGCCGCCACAGAAAGTGGTAGGAATAAATTAATGCTAGGTGTGGAAGTGAGCTTGTGAACAGTGAGTGGTAAATGGAAATAGTGAATTGTTTGTGCATGAAAGTGATGTGGGTGCCTGGATGAGAGATGAGATAGCGAGAGGTGTTTAGGAGCTACTAGACAAGGTCCAGAAAGGGCCATCTCCTTGACTGGCCTGTGGAGATGAGAATTCCTGGCCAAGGAGGCTATTGGTATTGAAATGACGTTGTTCTCCTTCCCGTGCAGAGTTGTCAGGTTCGTGGACTCTGCTGGTAGGCTGGCAGGCACACGCTGACCTTACCCTTAGTTGTTACTTGTTGTGTGCCTCCTCATTTTAAAAGAAAAATCCTTTGTTCAGCAGAGCCTTAAGTGCTTTCTCGAGTGAGTACATTTCCTGTCCCCTGCTTTCTCTGCACTTGAAGGAGACAGCTGCTGCAGTTGCAGGCGAGAACAAGCATTTGACACGATTCAGTCTTCTCCTTGATAATAAACAGCTAAGGTGCACAAGAGTCTCTTGTCTGGAGAATCTTTTGTTTTCTCTGAACAGTGTTTTTCTTTAACAAGAGAAAAACAAAACTCTTCTTTTGTGCAGAAGAGATTAACGTACCTTTCCCCACTGTAATTTCATCAGTATATATTTTAGGAGCTGTTTTCTTTCACATCTCAATAAAGATGTCTCAGCTTGCAAGTGAATGTCAGTTTTTATTTACTGCCCTTTCCTTATACAGTACTTCCTTATGCTTACCTTCCCCCCATATAGTTTTTAATATATTTATTAGAAGCCAGATGTGTGGGGTGAATGTAGCTTTGGCTTTTTAAAAAGTTAACCAAGGTAGCTGCTGGAGTAAGTACAATACTGCACGTCTGAATGAAAGAGACTAACCCTGATATTATACTACATGATCAGAAAACTTGAACAATTAATAGCAATCCTGTAATCATGGTATGCTGGCACCAGTTGGACCCTATTATAATTTTAGCAGAATGCTCCTGTCTCCAGTTCATACACATTCTAGAAACACACACACACGTCAGAAAATGAAAAAGAGTGTAGAAGCAAGAGAGCCAGTATGGTGTGATTCACATGTTGGCCAAGAATTTTGGAAATCTGTGTTCACACCCTCCTTGGCCATTCAGCTTACTGAATAGCCATGAGCCAGTCTCAGTTACTTCACATGGTGGTTGGAAGTGGGGAGGAAAAAAGCCATGTGAACCACCTTGATCTCATTTGAGGAAGGGTAGGATGTAAAATATAACAAATAAATGGTGCCAACAGCCCTACCCATAGGATGCCTGCACACAGAGAGAACTCTCGCCCACTTCAGGTATGTGACTGAGCAGGCCCTCCCTGCACATCCCTCTTTACACCACCACATATCCAGGGTAAAGCCACGGACGGACGGACACCCAGTACATCAGCCCTTGTGGCACAGCCAGCACTGACCAAACACTGACAGTCGCGAAGCAGCATCTGTATAGGAAGGGTCTGAATTTCAGAGCGCTCCCCTGTTTCATGAACACAGCATGCACAGGGAACGAAGGAGAGTTTTGACACATACCGTCCTCCTTGGAAAAGAGCACAAGCTCAAAGCCCATCCAAGGAAGGAAAACATCTTTTGCTACATATCAAGAGGAGGGACTAGATTCGATTAGAAGGGCAGTCACAGATCAAACTGACAGCAAGGATTTATTTTCACCAGGCGCTTAATTTCTTTTGCTTATTTAAAAATTCAGTATAATATGTCATTTGCTTTTATCTAGCACATCTTTTATTCACAAAATATAAGTGCAGCTCTTCAGGCATGCATATTACATCACCATATTAGGTTATTCAATTATTTAGCATTATTAAGAATAATATTTTAAGACCCCTAAGCTTTCTGTCGATACGTCTGTGGTCTTTAGTAGTGCTCAATCAAGTGTATGGTTAGATCTCTCCTTAAAGTAGCAATAACAGGATGTGACTGGATACATGGCAGTAGAGGTTACATGAAGTTTTTCCTCCAAAATCATTTTCCTCTGAAAAAGTGGGTACTTACTTTAACCCCCATAGACCAGGATTTAACAAACAAAAGAAGAAGGAAGGAAGAAAAATAGGAGTCTCTCTCTCTCTCTCTCTCTTTCTTTCTCTCTCTCTATCTCTCTCTGTGTGTCTGTGTGTGGTTTGTGTGTGTGTGTGTGTGTGTGAGAGAGAGATCTTTGCATTTAATGAATTGTAGGATATTTTCTGACCCCGCTGGAATTCTAATGTACTGTGGGTTAGTGCTAGGATTGTAGCATTTCCTCTAAGGTTAGCAGATGGGTTGCATGTGCATTTCCTGTATTTCCTGAAACCACTGAGAATCCAAGTGTGCCTCACCTCTTTAATGGTGCCAGGTGACAGCTAGAGTATGTCCTTTCTTTTTTTAACCATCATGATTCTCAAAACAGCAACATGGGATTTAATTTTTTTTTATTTTTTTCATTCAAATACTGTACAATGACACAAAAAATTACCTCAGTAGCAAGCATCAGTAGATTGGTTGGGAAAATTTGCCCCAGATTTTTTTTGGGGGGGTTAATTTTAAAATAACCCACTGTGCATTACCAATAGCTGAAATCCAAAAACATTGTTTACAACTCTTCAGGTGACAACAATATAACATCCCTGCATTGTAGGTCTACTTATGGGGGACATCGAAGGAGCCTCCCTGAAGAATGTGAGGGTTGTGAACACATTCAGGCATCCCCTGAACAATGACGGCACTGAGTCCTTGCACTCTGGAAGCATTGTTGGATGGGTTCTGAAAAGAATGAAGAAGAAGATTTAACTCTGTGTAACTGCTGCAACACAGCATGGTGCTAGGAGACTAAAGCTCCCATCCTGGTGTTGAGAGCATTAATGAATAAAACCAGAATAAAGTTATTGCACAAGAAACAGTACAGTGGTGCCTCGCTAGACGATTACCTCACAAAATGAGGAATTCGCTAGACAATGACTTTTTTTAGCTATGTTACACTTCGCAAAACGATTGTTCCTGTGGGCAGTTTTCACTGGACAATGTTTGGGTCCTTGCGTCCTTGCCTCACAAGATGGGTTTTTTTTTGTGTTTGGGTCCTTGCGTCCTTGCCTCGCAAGATGGTTTTTTTTTAAACCCTGTTTCACAAGAAAATTTCCCACACATTAATTACATAAGACCTACTTTTTTATCCCAAAAAAGTGGGGGAGAAAGTGTATGCTGCTGGCTTTCCAGGGTCTGTCTCCTAGAAAAATAGCAGCATACACTTTCTTCCCCACTTTTTTGAGATTAAAAAGTAGGTCTTATGTAATTAATGTTCCTTCAATGAGAGAAAAAACCATCTTACAAAGCATTGCTAATGGGGCTATGACTACAAATTAAATGAGAGAGGATGGCGAAAACAGCCAGGAACCAAAGGATAAAGAGATTGTAAAAACACCAGGGAAATCACAAGAACAATCCCTCATTAACACAAATTATGTAGTTGAGTTTCCCACATTTGGGGAAATCATAGGGATCAGCAGCACACCCAAAGTACAATGGATGAGCCTCTCCCTAGCTAGGAAAACCACTTTTATGACATGGTACTTCCCTTGCAAGGTATGAGTTAGAATGGCCCTTGCCTCTCCTAGCCCATTCTGTCCCCTAACCCCCCAAGGCATGGTGACCCCCTGGCTGCACCTCCCACTCAGTACAGGGCTGCACAGCCCCAGTCCTGCCAGAGGCAGGTATTTTGGGGTGCCCTGTGGGACCCCCTTCAGGGGCTAGGTGTTCTTCCCACAATCCTCTAGTGCATATTATGCTAATTGCAGGAGGAACACCTAGCATTAGCTAGGTGTTCCTCCCACAATCCTGTAGTGCACAATATGCTAATACCTGTGTACAAGAGGATTATGGGAGGAACACCTAGCCCCTGATGGGGGTCCCTAGTTTGGACAGAGATGTCTTCCATGGACACTGTCCCACATAGCTGAGGGAGTAGGAATGTCTCCTTCCACTTAAGTTATTTCATGATGCATGCCACACAAATGGGTCCTTAAAATGTGACAACTCAGCAGCACATGTAAGAGGAAGCTGCAGCTGTTGTGATAATAACTGGGGCTGAGATATAGGAAACTGGTCACAAATCATGTACCCTTTCCCCAAGGAAATATTAGATATAGTATGTTGGACAGACATGCTTTAGGGACAAAAGCCTGAGTGGCTGTAGGTATCTTGGTTACTGGGAAGGCTTCTTGAAATTCCACATGCAAATATCAGTTTCTAGATGTAAGGAGGCCCGGAAAGAAAAAACAAGAAACCAGGCCTTCTTGGCAGTGGCTCCTCTTCTCTGGAACAATCTCCCTCCTGAGACTGGCATGGCCCCTTCCCTAGGCATCTTCAAATGCCAATTGAAAACCTGGTTGTTCAAGCAAGCCTTCCCTCCATCCACTGTCTGCATTTTTGTTTTTTGTGTTTCTTCCATCTTGGATCATTTTGTGTGTGTGTGTGTGTGTACGCATGCATGCATGCATGTGTGTGTGTGTGTGTGTGTGTGTTTTGGTAATATATTGTCATTTTAAGTTGTAAATTGTTATATGTCCTGTTGTTACCCACCCAGAATAGTCTATATGACTAGATGGGCAGGCTATAAATTAAATAAATAAGCCTCAGGCTTTTGAAATATCACATAAAAACACATGGTGGTGCTAAGAAGAAGAAATGAATAATAAAAATATTGATAAATGATAATGGGTGAGGAAAAGGTGATCCAGATACTGTAACACACTCTCTGAGATTTGAGGAATTGAAATTCAAGATATTATAGTGGAAGGGAAAGTAGCAGAGGACGGTGACGTAGACACAACTGAAAAAAGCAAAATACTGTAAAGGAGAAGTAGGCAGCTCCCACACTGTAGACCAGCCTGGAGACTGGAAAGGGCCACAGCAGTTGGGAAGGGATCAGGGAATGGTGTTGGATAACTTTTCTCAGACTCTGGGCTGAGTTGCATTAGTGAGTCCCAAGGAATATGTTGAGATGAGGCTTGGTGTTGCTGCACAGCTAGTACCTCACTGCTTGGTTCTCCTGCCCCATGGCCGTGGTGTGTCCTTTGAGTTGAACTGGGGCCAGCACTACCTGCATGCGCAATGCATAGCACATGTGACAGTGGGAGCTGGTTAAAGAGCAATACTGTAACATGCAAGGTTTCAGGGATGGGAGAATTGGATGGTGAAATAGAGCAGCTGGCCGAGAGCATGAGTGAAGGCAAAAAGGGAAGGGAAACATTAATTTCTAACTGTATTTTGCATGTTGTTCAAAACTTTTATTTTGTAAGGCACCTTGAGAAAGCAGTGTAGAATATTTCCAGTACATAAAGTAAGAGAATATGTTTGCATTAGGCAATGGCATCAGGAATTGGGAGAGCAACATCTAATCTGATGTTTGGGGAAGGTTATTTTCTGATCCATGTAAATTACTTAGACTACAGTATTAAGCACACTTAGTACATAAAGTAAGAATATGTTTGCATTAGGCAATGGCATCAGGAATTGGGAGAGCAACATCTAATCTGATGTTTGGGGAAGGTTATTTTCTGATCCATGTAAATTACTTAGACTACAGTATTAAGCACACTTATTTGAAAGTAAATTGCAGGGGAAATGACTTTCAAATAAACATGACTGGCTGTTAGTAGAATTTAGGAAGTTGAGAACTTTCTGTTTTATGGTTGGCTTGACTCACTTTAGTCATATCTTGTTAATCAGTGTTAGGAACAAGGTATGTATAAATAATTTCCCAGGACGTTTGGTAACTGTGGCAAGAATCACTGGTTCAAATTTAACATAATTGACAGGCCAGTAAACATGTGGTTTAGATAAAACAATGAGTTTCATCTGCAGCTCTGAGTATCTTATCCTTGTGTTTTATAGGGTTTGCAAATCAAGAGCTGACAATCAGATTCAGAATGGTATAGATGAGAAGAGTTGTGATATTTTTGTTGATAACCTTTTTGAAGAAGCTCAGAAAGTTGGAGCTATATGCACACAGCAGGCTAAAGTAAAAAATCAGGTTAGTGCATTTAATTTTATAAGGTGTAGTACATCAAAACACTGCAAAATTGTGTAAAGTAAAACATGTGGGCCTGGATTAACAGGATACTTTGGCTAATGGAAATTTTTGTTGCCATCTGCCTTGTAAACATTTGTACATGTAGATGTTTTAGGGGTTATTTTTTGATGCATTTCTTCATAATTTGGAATGGCTGATATAGTTCTCATTCCTTGGAAAACATGTGTGGGTCATGGCTTCTTCAATAGCTTCGGTACTACCGTGTGTGCTTTGTCTGTAAACAACGCTGATTTGAACTCTGATGGTTCCAGATAATGCTGGAGAGAGAAAATCCTTCCTGAAACTCAGGAGAGCCGCTGGGGGTTAATGTAGATGTGAAGCAACTTCCCATGTTCCTCTTGCCTGCATTCATTGCATAAAGGAAATGAATGGGTCTGCTACTTTTGTGCGATAATGCTCATTTGAGTTTTCACGTTTCAGGCGGATACAACAATTAAATTATGGAAAAATGGATTCACAGTGAATGATGGTGAACTCCGAAGCTACACAGATGTTGCAAACCAGCGCTTCTTGGACTCTATTAAAAAAGGGCAAGTCAGCTTTGTGTGTTGCACCAGCATTGTGGTAATATCACTCATACACTGGTCTGCTTCCATTCTCTGTCCAGGTGAACATCTAGCTTTGACTTCACCTGGCTATACATATACAGTGGTGCCTCGCTTAACGAGCGCACCGTTTAACGACGAATCCGCATAGCAATCTATTTTTTAGATCGCTAATGCGATCGCATTGCGATGTTCTGAATAGGAAAACATTGCATTGCGATGATCGGTAAGCGTTTCGCTTACCGATTTTCGCATTGCGATGTTTTTTTAAACAGCTGATCGGCGGTTCCAAAATGGCTGCCGGGTGCCCAAAATGGCTGCCGCAAGTGTTTTCGCGCCCTGCCCTCGCTTACCAAGGGCACGAAAATGGCAGCGCTATGGAGGATCTTCGCTGAACAGTGAGTTTGGGCCCCATAGGAATGCATTAAACAAAGTTTAATGCGTTCATGTGGGTTTTTCCTTTCCGTTTAGCGATGTTTCCCCATAGCGACGATTAATCCGGAACGGATTAACGTCGCTATGTTGGATATACATATACCACAAGCATGCCCTGGTTGATGCATTACTATATATACACTGCATATGTATGTATTATTTATACCACTTACATCCTGCCCTTTCGGATTAACGTCGCTATGCGGAGCACCACTGTACCACAAACATGCCCTGGTTGATGTATTACTATATATACACTGCATATGTATGCATTATTTATACCACTTACATCCTGCCCTTTACCTGGCAAAATTAAAACCTAACAAGCATAAAACCTAACAAGCATAATGAGAAGCACATACACACAAGAAATAAAATCTAAAGATAATTATCACCCACTGCCTATTGCTCTTGTGAAATCTAACATTTGATACCATTTTAATATAAGATTGTTAGCTGAATAAGTTCAGTGAGTTAGGTGTCTGGCTCCGGAGCCTGACGTTGGGAGTTCAATTCCCCGTTGTGCCTTCCAGGAGAGGTGCCAGCCTATGTGGCCTAGGGCAAGCTGCACATTCCCAGGGAGAAGGGAACGGGGAACCACTTCTGAGTCTTCTCTTCCTAGAAAACTCTGAAAAGGGTCACCGTAAGTCAAAATTGACTTAATGGCACATGATTATTATTACAAGACTGCTTCCCTTTGGAGCATGATCGGTGCTTTAAAATAGTGCATTAAGGAAAAGGTGTTGTTCCTAGAGGGAAGTGCGCTTCCCTTCATGCATAGATCTCCACTGAATCTGATTAATTAATTATTCTGATTATAATGATCATGTGCACTTTTCCTTTTACTCATTTTGCCTTTAAAGAGAGCTGCCTCCTGAATTACAGAAGATCTGTGGTAAAGAGGAGGTGAATGTGAAGGTGCAAGATAAGAAGGACCAAGTGTACACCCTGAAGAAGCCAGTATTTCACCCTTTCTCTGGTCAAGGATACAGATTGGGAAGGTAGGAAGTCTCATATCTCTAGTAATAGAAATTTCTTTTGGAAAGGATCAGGGATGTTAATGGCAGTCCCTTCATCCTTCTTAAGCAGTAGTTCTAAACTCACTTAGTTGGGCATAAGCCCCATTGTACTCAGTGGGGCTGCCTTCTGCTTAAGTGTATGTAGAATTGCTCTGTTATCCTCTTTTTCCATTTCTAGCTTCTAATTTGTGAGGAAAGTTTTTACATGAAACTTGATTTAAACCTCCTAACGTTGCATTGTGTGTCCATCAGTCAGTACCCTATCCTCGGCAGCAATTCCACAGCAGTAATGATGTTAAGAAGACCATAAACGAAGGGACATAAGTGGCGATGTCCATAGAGCCAACAGTAACTGGACAGCCCATTCACCAATCAATGTCATCCTTGAAAAGCCTCCCTTGTAACCAACCCTACAGGGTAACCGTGTGTCTTTAGGATGCTTTATCAGCAGCTCATTAGGATGCCTTATCAGTCCCGTTCTGCTGGGATTGAAGCTGTAGCTGGGGCTACAGGGAAGGGAAGCAAGGCTACCAATGGGCCTCCTCAGAAGCCAGTCTTGTTAGGGTTGGCTCTCTTGTTAGCTGACGTCCAGTAGCCATTCCACCAGGCTGTAGCTTGGGAGAGACAAGCAGGACAACACATCTGCTCAGCTGGGAGATCAATGGTTTTCGCCCTTCCAGTCTGGCTCCAGCTGATTTTGTCAAGAGCAACCATGTCTAGCTGCACTATACCCTAGTACTATGAGAACTACTTTTCTTCATATTTGAATTGGGAGTCTTGCCAGCTGAAGTGTTTTAAGTAAATAAACAGTAACTACCGCATTTTTCCGTGTATAAAAACGACACTATTTCCTAAAATAATTATATGAAAAATTGAGGGTTGTTTTAATACATGGAAGGAGGCGGAGACAAAGGAGTACTCGCGCGCGCTCGGGCACCTCTTGTCACTGCTCCCGCATCGCTTCCTCCAGTGCTCCCTTCAGGCAGGGGACAAGGCAGCAATAATGTGAGCTGGAGGTGAGCCCCAGCAGTCACAGTAGATGAGGTGATTGGGCGGGGGAGGCAGCAACAACAGGAGAGATGGAGGTGGAGGATCAGTTGCCCATTAACTGCTCCTCCACCTCCATCAAGGGTCAAAATTTGGGGGTTGTCTTACACATTGGGGGGTCGTATGCATGGTAAAATACGGTAAACTAATAAACAGTTCACCTAACTTAGGCCATAGTCACACCAGGGAAATGTGTCCCACTTCTAACAATAGTTTCCATACTTCTCTTTTAATGCAGTCACGTGATGCATTGCAGTCACATGCGCGCACGCACGCACGCGCACACACACACACACACACACACACACACACACACACACACACACACACACACACACCTGGGTGAGCATCCCAATGTGATTTAAGGTTACCACTTCATTCTCTTTACTTTGAATTGTGACAGCCAAGGAGAGGTACTCCTTTTGTGCCCCTTTTCCCTCCACTTCCACTTAAACGTTTCCACGAGCTTGGGAGTGGAACAGCAAGCTCCGTTTGCTCAGCTTTGCTTTTGAGAGCCAAGTATGCCGGCGGCTAGAGGGAAGCATTCCCAGCCTCTCCTCCTCCTCCAGCTGACCTATTTCATCTTTCAACATGGCTTTTTCCTGAGATTTCCCTCCACCCCACTCTCTCCTGGCTGCTGGTCTCTCTCAGTTGCCCCATCCTATCTGGCAAAAGAACAAGGAGGGGCGATAAGAGGGACAGTGCCTGATTATAGTGTGGTTCATACACATTGTCAGCTGTTTCCCACTCCTCACAGCGCCCGGATACCCAAGTTCTTTGCCAAGGAAATATAATGGTGCCTTGCATAATGAGTGCCCCGTTTAACGATGAATCCGCATAGCGATGCGGATTTTGCGCGCTCAAAAGCGATCGCATTGCGATGTTTAAATAGGGAAAACATCGCATTGCGATGATCAGTAAGCATTTTGCTTACCAATCTTCGCATTGCGATGTTTTAAAACAGCTGATCGGCGGTTCCAAAATGGCCGCCGGGTCAACAAAATGGCCACCCACAGCCTTTTCGCGTCGATTCCTCGCTTACCGAGGCAGCGAAAATGGCGGCCGGATGGAAGATCTTCGCATAACGGTGAGTTTATCCCCCATAGGAACGCACTGAAGGGGTTTCAGTGCGTTCCTACGGGGTTTTTTGCCCCGTATAGCGACGTTTCTGGATAGCGACGATTTATCCGGAACGGATTGTCACTATGTCGGGCACCACTGTAAACTGATAGCATCGTACACACATGCCATACCAGTAAGGAATATATAGACACACAACTGGAAGAAAAATAATACAACCCTCATAGCCAGTGGGACATAAAGTGCAATTACACTGCTAGCTGGGAAAATATTTCAATCATGGCCGTGTGTCATGTGATGACAAATTTAAATACCTGTCTAACTGGGGAATAAGTAGGAAACATTTGCTTCATGTGATCACACCCTTACTGGCCTGCCTGGCTGTGGTCATTTGAGAGGTCCTGAACCTACGTATTTGCTCCTTGAGATAAAACCCCCTATGATGTTTGTCGGTTGGCAATAGATGCTGTTGTGATTATGCCACTCCTGTGATGTAGGACGGAATTGCCCACCTTGCTCCAGCTGAATTCACAAGGAGGAATGGAGATCACAATGTTACTGTTGCTAAGATGCCTTTTCTACTTGAGGTGGCATGTGAAAACCGTGTGATTGTGTTTTTCCATGAAAAGTTATCAAAAACAGTATGCAAGGTCTGTTGCTATTTTACTGAAACGTGTCAAAGCAATAAATTCACAAAAGTGTGCTAATCATAAAAAAATACCATTCCCTCTAAGAGGAGACTTGAGCGATCAAGCATCTGGTAGGCCAACCCAAAATAGCATCATACTTTCTATATAACTAATTCTTCAGTTTCTCTTTCAGCCATCGGTGTGATGATCACCCATCTGCAGAAAAGTCCTTAGCCCCTTTAATCATTTATTCAAATTAAGCATTCTGTAGACATGTTGTGCAGGCAGCATGGGTTCATTTATTTCAGCACTGGGGGATAAAGGGCTCTCCAGATGTTACCGGCTCACACTTTCCATTGTCACCACTTCCAGTGGAGAAGGATAATGGGAAAAGGGAACATTTGGTACCTTCCACATTTCCTATCCCTGCTGTAGTATTTGTTGTTGGGGAGGATTTAGGGCCACGTTGCCCCATAAACATTTTAGGGTCATCAGAAAATCAGTAGCAAAATGGTGACACCATCTAACGTTAAGAGGGTTTTGAAATCTCATTTCAATGTTTTTGTTTTCTTTTCCAGTGCCACGCCAAGAATAATCTATAAAGTAAAAAAAGATGTTGAAGAAAATGAAAAGAGAAAAGCAACAGTGGTGTTAAATAATTCAGAACCCATCACTAGTATCCAAATTTGGTTAGCAGATGGAACCAGAATAGTACAAAGATTCAACACTTCACACAGGTAAGGAGAGATCTTATCAATCTACATTCATACAAATGCAACTTACTCCTGTGCAGGTCTACTTAAAAGAAACCCCACTGAGCTTGTAGGTGAATACATATAGGATTGTTGCCCAATTGTCCCATCCTAAGTCTATTTGCTGAAAAGGAACTCCCTTTGAATTCGATGCCACTGACTCTCAGGTGACTGCTGTCTTTTAAAAAAATTTTTTTAAAGGGATGCAAATAAGAGTCTCTTATTCATTGGTGGACTGAGAAATATTTTTATCTTTTGATTAATTTTAACCTTGGTTTGGAGGTACAATGATTATTTTAAAATATGAAATGAAATAATAAAAATGATATAACACAGAACTTTAGTGAGGCATGAAGGAAACTAACATGTTACACATTTTGAGCGGTTGGTATCCTAGATTTTATATTTCGGACCTCTTTTTATTGTGGATTTCGGGTTCTTTGAGAAGACACTTAGATTAAGTATCTAAAATGCCAATAATCCATTGGGTTTTCGTATAAAACCAGTATCAACACATTTATGATATGTAGACAATATTTAGATATTTAGACAATATTTGGATGATCCTTGCCTAATAAGCTAAGATATAAACTCTTTATTGACATGCATAGCCCCTCTTCTTTTCTATTGTGTGAGCATGCAGACAGACCCATGATGTTATTAGGAACTTGGGTTTTTCAGGACTTGTGATCTTACAAGGGGCCCCTTTGTTTAGATGACCATAAATATGACTACAAACTATGGTTAGCCAACATTGCAGTGTGAGCTGGTGGGGAATGATCCTGCTCTGTCTGCAGACTGTTTCTGGGCTTCTGTTGAATGATGTCCTTTCCTAACAGCACACTGAATAAATTACTCAGGGAGGCTTGAATTATCTGTGGAATGGAGAAAATATATTTAGCGGTTGTAACAATCCAGAATATTAAACCAGGTTGCTTAGATGACTATATCTGAACATCTCCTAAATTTACTTAATTCTCAAATATGATAATTCTCAGATTTTAAATTATTTACTTATTTTTCATTTTCTAGTTAAGTCAAAACATTTATCAATTTGGGTATGTGTCATATTAATTTAAGTGGAATTATATTCTTGAAATTGTGTGTTCAAATGGAACTGTGTATTTCTCTACACCTGGGTCTTGCTGGGTTTTATCCAACTCTGAGTTACATCCAGACTTCTATTGCAAACTGCTGCTTCCTTAGTAGCATTACACCATTTTTCTTAGAAGCTGTACAGTAGTAGTGGAGTCCTTGTCTGTGCAGATCACTACATGCCCTCTGTTGTCATCTTCACATATTGCAGGTTGAGAACAGAGGGGTTGATATTAGAAGGCATGCTTAGTACCAGGAGGCATACATCTGTGAGATGGCCATAGTGCTGGACAGGCCAGAATATTCCACTCCCATCATAAGTAGAACTACCATCAGCATCTCAAGCTAGTTACTTTGGTTTCCAGTCCTGTGCATGCATACTTACAAGAGTAAATCTTACTGAGGTCTTTCAGGACTGTTTTTTGGACAAACATACATGGTCCCTGAATATTCATAGGATCAGAGCCTGCAGAAGCCTTACGTAAGAGCACCTTATCTCTTTTGAGTTGAGCAGACCAGATTAGGGAGCAGCAGCAAATATGAAAAGAATTACGATGTGACATTCTGAGCATTCTTGCTGACTTAGCCTCATGGATGTCAGTGTAGTGCCTTCCTTAGTAATTTCCTTGCACATACAGTATTTGACCTCACTATTTGTTTAAGAAGAACTCAATTAATAATTCCATGATACAGGACTTCTGAGTGCAATCATAATATGAATTATGACATCTGCTGCACAGTAACTGGCTGGAAATTACCATCTAAATATGATGCATGTTGGATAGGGCTTTTTGGAGGTGGGCAGAAGCTGTCTTGGTTCTTCAAGAAAAAACATCTGTTTGTTCACCTGAGGGACCCTGTCCTTGGGACCTTCACCTGCGCTAGCCTGAGAGCGGCATAAGAATTGTCTGCTCCATTGTAGCCAGTTCTAAAAATCTTGCACTGCTAGAAGAGATGGGAGTCAGTCTTTTCCTACTTTCTGCCAATGAGACAGAAGGTCCATCCTTTTGCCAGCCCTCCATTGAATTAATGTATAGCTTGATATGAATGTTGACTAATTTTATACCTTGCAATAACAAATGTTGAGGTAGAAGATTTAGCATTTAGGAAGTCTTAGAAGTGTGATGCATTAAAGATCCACCAATACTTCCAGTTGAATAACATTTATAGGCCCATTCTGATTACCGTACTTTCAGCGGCTTATCCTAGGCTTAGTACATCCTGATACTCTGCCAGAGCTATTTTCAAGGCTTAGTGGTGTGCCTGTCAACCCTGTATTTTATGTATTAAAATGTTTATTACTATTTAATGTAACAACTTACAAACAATAGTATTTTTTCAAATAATGTATTTTTTTAAATGATGCCCCAATTATCTAGTAATAACTTTTCTGAAGATAAAACACGTTATAAGTGCTCAATGAGCAGCAGCTAGAGACCCATTAAATACGTAAGAGATCCTATACCAGAGGCTATAGTAACTCACAACAGAAATCTCACCATGCTAGGATTGTGATGGTCATTCCACGGGTCTGTGTCTAATGTGAATGTAGTATCATCCTGTAAATCTGCCAACCTGTGTGCACTCACCTGGAAATAAGTCCTGCTCAACTTGGTGTGGCTTTTTTCTAAGGAGACATGGATAAAATGACACTGGCAAATAGCAAAATATAGTACAGTGGTACCTCGGTTACGAACACCTCTGTTAACGTAATTTTCAGTTTACGAAGGAAAATCCTTTGAAAATAATGCCTCAGGTTTTTCTTTCTGTATGAAGTTTCCCCAGGATGCATCGTGCCTGGAGGTTTATAGCGCCGCTCCCATTCCTATGGCAATCCACGTTTTGTTTTACAAATTTTCTGCATTACGTAACATCCCGGAGAACGTATTAAATTTGTAAACTGAGGTATGCCTGGACCAAGACACAACGAGTGTTTTCTATTCGTTAGCTCTTTTCAAATTACAAGGGCATCTATAACACTCTGTGTTTTACAAGAGATGGCTCATTTAGAGATTCAGAGACTGCCAATACAAAACACATGGAATGTGGGAGTAACATTTGCTATTTTCCTTCTAGAATAATGGTGCATAAGCTAGCGATGAGATTTGGCTTTGGGTGAAGGAAGCCTTTTCACCCATGTGGCACCCTTCCAATGTTTTTGGGCTGTTAACTCCAGTAACCTTTCCCTGCTGCTCATGCGGGCTGACAGGAGTTCTAGACTGAAAACATTGGTCGGCCATAGTTCCTCACAGAAGGAGGATGGTGAAGGATGACCCTGTTTGCTTTCAGTGGGTTGCCCCAGTGGTGCAAATTCTCAGGGTGAAGAAAGAATTCTTTCAGTGGGGAGTTTTGTTCACTCAGCTGTTCCACTTCATCATTCTTCTTATAAACTGCTGATCTAGAGAAGAGGACTTCTGTTTTCCCCATATGTGATCCATGTGGCAGATACCTCATGGATTTATTTATTCTCATGTGGCAGGTCACTTCCACATGCTGTGAAGCAGAGGGCAACAAGGCAAACTATTCTCCAAGTGGCCAACTTGCACAGCATCTGCAGGTCATTAGATTTAATGGGTCTCTAGCTGCTGCTTATTGAGCAGTCTGGGGGTAACGCACCCAAAAGAAAAAAGGCTGAAGAATTCTTTGATCTGTCAAACACCTATGTTCTTGAAGTACCTCACACCCCACAGTGTTTGTTCTTTCAACATTCTGGATTAAAACACCAGCCCTCTTTTCATTTAAGTCTAATTTCTTTTGTTTCTCTTCTTAGAATAAGCCATGTCAGAGACTTCATAACAAATTGCCAAGGACAACCTGGAAGAAATCCCTTCATGCTGACAACATCACTCCCTTTTCAGGAGTTGCTGGACGAATCTCTCACGCTGGAGGAAGCTAACTTAAAAAATGCTGTTATTGTTCAGAGACTTAAAAAAAACAGTGAGCCTTTCAGGAGTTTGCCCTAGCCTTCAGCGGCAAGATGGCCTAAAATGCACCACAATAGAGCTGCTGCAGGGAAGTCTTGTAAAAAAAAGTCAGACAGTACCCATTAAACAGTAGCCTGGTTGAGTTTGTTTCACCATGCCCAGCAGCTATCTGTTAGTGAAGCTCTACTTTAGTTAAAACCAAAAAGAAACAAAAAGCAATATCTGTTGCGTGGCAGCTACAGCCCGACTCTGAATGGGCATATAGTGTGGGCTGTACGAAGTCTGCTCTAATGGGGTCTTCTGTTCTTTTTTGAAACAGTGGCCTGGCTGGAATGTAATACCGTGTTTCCCTGAAAATAAGACAGGGTCTTATATAACTTTTTGCTCCAAAAACACATTAGGGCTTATTTTTCTGGGAATGTTTTACTTTTTTCATGTACAGCAATCTACAGTATATTTATTCAAATGCAGTCATGTCATCTTATTCTGGTTGCTGCACAATGGTGGAAGGCAGGAGTTCACTTAAGTGGGTCTTATTTTTGGTGTAAGGCTTATATTATGAGCATCCTGAAAAATCATACTAGGGCTTATTTTTGGGTTAGGTTTTATTTTCGGGGAAACAGGGTAGGCAATATCTCACCAGACCAGTTGTTCTGAGCTATCAACCTGATAGCTTTGCTAGTTTAGAGAAGAGACATTCTAGTGAATCTGGTGAAAATCCTAGGCTTTGTTTGCACTTTGAGTTGGTTACTGGACAAGAGTTGCACTTTATTTTGAAAAAAAAAACCCCACCAAACTACTATTCAGTTTTCTTCTTGCTGTATAGCCCAGTATGCTGTCTTGCTCATGAAATGCCACATTTACAGATTTTATAGTAGGTTGATACTAACATTTAGAACTAATAACTCATTTTTTTGTTAAAACTCTCCATCTTTGTTAACAAGTTTCTATGTTTTGTAATAGCTGCTGCTTTCCTTGAAAACCTACCAATTCATGTCTGAATTAAACAAGACATGTAAGCCATCCTCTACATACACGTACCTGAGGGCAAGTCCAACAGAATGTAGTGACATTTTTCTGAATAGATAGTATTAGATTGCACTGTCTTATTTTTTGCCACAAGAAAAAGATCTCTGTATTAACCAGTCTCAAATCATTGGTTTGAGGTAAACACCATTGCTTTCAGTAGAATGTACATATGAGTAAGTGCATTTAGGCCTGCAGTGCTAGTTTATGAGACTGGAAGAAAGAGCAGTGGTTCTGCCCAGAATGTCAGAAAAAATCAGCTCAAGAACTACAGCTTCAATATGATGCACATTGGAACAATTTCAAACAGGCAGTCTCATGGATCATGACATGTGGAGTCTTAATGAGAGGACTGTGACATGCTTGAAGTGGCTGACAGGTAACATGAACATGGAGTTATACAGCAAATTTGTAATTCAGCTTAGTATTAGAAAGCTCATCTAGAATAATCAGATTTATTTGTCTTATGTATACCAGGTAGTTTTCTTTTTTGCTGTTAGTTAAGTCCTCTGCTCTGAATGGCAATAATGATTTTTACTGATTTATTTCATTACTTCTGAAGTTTTCTAGATGTTACGCAAACATTAAGAAAACAATAATCTCTTGTCTACAGGCTTGCAATCTAATCTACATAATACCAGAGGAAAACAGGTGGGAAGAAAATGGTGCCGGGGGGGGGCACCAAACAAATACAGGCACAAACCCCTCCATAGTTGCATAGTAAAATGGGTGCTGAAGGAGGGAAGGAGCCAAATGGCAGCTGCTCACAGCCAACCCAATGAAGTGGGCCAGCCTGTCTCTACTGTCAGTACAGTTGGGCATATATGTTCCTAAATGTTTGTTAATGTTCACAAATGCCAAGTATTTCTTGTGTGTTATTAACGTGGCATTATATAGAAAACTGGGGATGTTCCTTTTTTTAGAGCTCAGGAGCGTCCACTTGCAGACACTGACTTGAAATCCTGTTGTGTTGCTATGCAAAAGGTATAATTTTTTGGAGGAGAATTACTTCAGGTCAAGAAATCTCCATAGACATTACCTGTTGCAGGCAGAGTTATGCAACCCACTATGCAATAGCTAATGGCTATGGAGATTCCCTAACTTGAGGTAAATTGCATCCAAAAGTTATACCTTGTGCGTAGCAGCACAACAGGATTTCCGCTGCGTAACAATGGCAGCAGCTTCCCAAAACTCCATCTTGGAGTCAGCCTGGTTGGCAGATAGGATTTTAACAAGATTTCCCTCACTTATTTCACCCCCATCTCTTTTTTATCTATTTCCCATTTTAGATAGGGTCAGTCAGAAGAGAGGCTGAAATTGAGCTGTATACCTAAGTACAATTTTTTAAATCATAAATGTGCTTTTCCTACATTCAGTCTTGCAACAGGAAAGATGTTAAACCAGAAGCTGTCACACTACTTTCCATCCTCTAGTTTTGTGAATGTTAGTCAGAAACAGACTGGAATCCCGCCTTCAGAACACATTATTTACTTTCCTTCTGGCAGTCAGGATACCACTGGAGAATGGGGAAAACTTGATCTTATTTGCCACTTTCCATTCTTAGTGGGGCATTCTGCCTACCAAAAAGGCAGGCATATAGCGTCTTCTGGCAGATAAAAGGGGTTGCTTGATGTCTGGACAGCACGAGTGACTTTGGACTCTTTCTTAACATATTTAATGGTCAGAATCTTATTACCTACTCACTCCCCCATAATTTCCTTGACATAGATATCAGTGGCAATTTGCTGGCAGTTAAGAAATCAATGCTTGTATTTGTCACACAGCAAGTTACACAACTGGCGCTTGATGTAGATACAAACACCAATTTCTTCACTATTAGCAATTTACCAATGAGATTTACACTGTTGGACTTAATACCAGCAGTAAAAGTAGTAAGATTCTAATCTTTTTTTAAACCGATTAGCGTTTTTCTGAGGTTCTAGTGCACTTCACACTGCTTTGTAGGTTATTTGGTGCCAGTTGCAGTGGGAACTACCTCACACTTGACGGGTTTCCCTGAGTTGTGGGCTTATCCAGGGACCCTTTTCCTCAGTGTCATCTGCAGGTTGCTTTTGTATAGTGACCAGCAGAAGGACCTTGTAATAGGAGTCTAAGCTGCCTCATATTGGTATCAGTGAGACTGGGTACAGTATTTATTGGGAAGCCCTTTTACTTATTGAAGAACTGTGACTGCTGTCTCTTTTATCTAAGAATGAGCTTGTTGTGCTGTAAGCAGCTAAGATAAGACACATACACTGAAGATGAGGTAGTGGCTACAGAATACAGTATTTCTGGTTAAACCCACACTGGGAATATATGCTAGCCACAAGAGCTGTAACAGTGTGGGTAATTGTCTGCACCAGTGGTTCCCAACCTTGGGTAACCCAGGTGTTCATGAACTGCAACTTCCAGAAACCCATGTCTAGCATAGGTAAAGGTAAAGGTTCCCCTAAACAATTTTTGTCCAGTCGTGTTAGACTCTAGGGGGCGGTGCTCATCCCCGTTTCCAAGCCATAGAGCCAGCGTTTTTGTCTGAAGACAGTTTCCATTGTCACGTGGCCAGTGCAGCTATACACGGAACGCTGTTACCTTCCCACCGAGGTGGTCCCTATTGATCTACTTGCATTTGCATGCTTTCGAACCGCTAGGTTTGCGGGAGCTGGGACAAGTGACGGGCGCTCACTCTGTCGCGTGGATTCGATCTTACGACTGCTTGGTCTTCTGACCCTGCAGCACAGGCTTCTGCGGTTTAACCCACAGCGCCACCACGTCCCCCCTAGCATAGCTAGTGGCAAAGGCTTCTGGGAGTTGCAGTCCAAAAACACCCAAGTGTAACCCAGGTGTTCTTGGACTGTAATTCACAGACGCCTTCACCACCATCTGTGCTAGACATGGGTTCTGTGAGCTACAGTCCAAAATTGAGAACCACTGATCTAATCTTCACTATTTAGGTTGCAAGCCTGCGGTCTTTAAGTCGACACTCCAGTAGCCCACAGGACAGGTCAATCTGTGCACAGAAGGGGAGAGCTAACTCCCCTTCCCAGTCCCTGTCCAAACCTCTGAAGCCCTAACCAGTGGTGGAACTCTTGTGGTAGAAACAGAAAGGGGGCAGATTAGGAAGCATGACCTGGGCACATTACGAGGCTTAGGATCCAAATAAGACCTCTGATAACATGGGTGGTGGGAGAATGGGTGCCAGCCCTGGAGCAGGTGGACAGTATTTCATGGCCATGGACTGTGGAGAGAGAGGTGTTTTTTTGTTTTTTTCAAAAGGAGAGAAACTAACATGGTGGTTTCTGCCCAGCTAAAGCAATCTGGGAAATCTTTTTGAATGAGGTTGTTTGCTGCCTGTGGGTCTCTCCACTGCTCTGCTCTTTTCAGTTCAAGTTTGATCACCAGGCCTATACTGCCTCCAAAAGTTTAAGCAGTATTGAAATATGAATTGTTTATTCATTTAGGGTTTTCTGTGTGCCAGTTTTTAAAATAATAATTAAAGCACATTGCAGCATAACTACTCGAGATTAAATTATGTTGTATATAAGTCCTCTTTTTGTAGAAAAAAAGACTATATTTATCTACATTATTTTACATAAAGAACAAAATCCTTAATTTCTCAGTTAAAAATGAAAATGAAAAATCTTACTTATATCCTTGACCTGATTTACTTTTACTTTACTTTTATTGAATTTATACCCCGCCCCTCTAGACAAAGTCTTGGTGGCATGTTCCTACAATGAAACAGATGGAGGCACTTACTGCACCTCACAAATCTTTCTAAGGTAAATGCACTTTCCCACTTCCGTGTAGGATATTTTATCTTGGGTGACCTTGACTTTGAGCATGCACAGACTGCTTTTCTTTACAAAAGCAGAGTGAAAGAGGCATTGAGTCCATATAAACAGCAATATGCTGACTTGCATGTATGTATATATGCTCTCTTTGTAAATGTAATTTACATAAAGACATACATGTAGTTGTTAGTATATTGACGATGTATCAGTTGTACTGATTTTTAAAACTGAATGTTTTGTTATAAAGGAAGCATACAATAATCTAAAGAATTATCCAGTCTGCTAATTTTTTCAGCAGTTAGAAAATATTGCTGGTTTTCTGTGTTTGGCTGTGTACTACCGTGTTTCCCCGAAAATAAGACAGGGTCTTATATTAATTTTTGCTCCAAAAAACACATTAGGACTTATTTTCAGGGGATGTTTTGTTTTGCAGTCATGTCATCTTTTTTCTGGTTGCTGCACAGTGGTGGAGGGTGGGGTTTCACTTAACTGGGGCTTACTTTTGGGATAGCACTTATATTATGAGCATCCTGAAAAATCATACTAGGGCTT